ACCCTGCCCAACGCGATTGTACCCGTAGTCCATCCCTTCCGCCAACGCTGTTTCGCAAAACCCTAAACTGGCTTGAAAGCCCCAAATCCCCTGCGGGTCGGCGCATACTGGGGCTCCCGGCCAACTCAACCGGTGGATACGCGGTCGCCGTCGCGTACATGGGACTCAGCGACCACTCGCAACTACGCTCGCTCCAATCCCGCACCAGGTGCTCATCACTGTACGGTGTGGTCGCCCCGCCAGCGGCCTGCTGGCATACCATCCTGTCCTGCTCGTGCTCGCTGCTACTTCCAGCACCTGGACCAGGGCGATGATCCGATTGCCTTCGGCATACGAGCCCTGGTGCCAATCAGGAAACCCTTGAACGCGCCCGGCCCCTAAAAGCCAACCCTGTGCCATCTACCGCGATGCCGGGGAGGGGTGCGCTCGCTGGTCTCAGGTGGTAAACAAGGTCGCAGTGGCACTCGTTTGCTCTCCCTGATGTGCTCGGGCCAGTCCCCTGGGCGACACGCGATTGGACACCCTGCCCTATTCCACCATGTGCTGGCGCACCATCAGCACGCTACCACCGGCAGCGCGGAGACGCCGCCCCACAAAAAGCTCACTGACTGGGCCCGGCAGATTTATCTGCACCCCCCCCGCTCATGTGAGCCTGCGACCACGCTGCTACCGCAGCCCCAGCACCCCTGGTGCTTGGTTGGTGACAGCAGCTAACTCGCGAGCTCGCTACTGTGCAACCTGCTCCACTCGCTGACACAATCGTTGTCTCAACCGTTAACCCTCATCGCCCCTCTTGCGCCTGGACGCCGTGCCCTTTACTGAACCAGGCGCCATCACGTCCGCCGCCGCGCGGACACGGTGCGGCCCCCGCTGAGCAGGCGCGTCGGCTGGCGCGCGCGTGTGAAGTGCGCTCCTGGAGCTTGCCCACCGTGTCATGGGTCGAAGGTGTCGGTAGCCATCGTACTGACGGCATCGACCCGCCACGGTGGAACTCACCTCACCTCTCAACGGCGGTTGTATCGCTCGGGCAAGCCGCCCGTGCCCCTGCGCTGGGTCTGGTCGAGACCCCCAGGCGAATTCGCCACACAGGCTCTGCTTGTGCACTGACCGGCGTGCACGGCGCAGATTCTGGAATGGTTTGTGCTCGCTCCGAGCAACTGGAGGTGACTTCCGGAGTGTCGAGCGCATCTGGGCGTGGAGACCCAACGCCAGTGGTCGGATCACGCCATTGCCCGCACCACGCCAATCCTCATGGGGCTTTTTCTCCTGGACCACCCTGGCCGCTCACTTGATGCGGAACAACGGCCATGAGCCATCGCACTGCGGCTGGTACGCCAAGCCGTCGCGACCCTTCGTAGATGCCATCGCCCTGGTGCGCCGCCACTTGTGGCTGGCGTCGTAGGGTTTTTTCACTGTCGTAACTTAGCCTCGACTTTGTACAAAAGCTAGATAAATTATAAGAACAGGGCAAGCTCGACCAAATCCCACAAGATGGCGAGTATGCCTACCCTGCCGCAGTCATTGTAACCCTGCTGCTGCCCTTTGAGCGCCTGTTTGACCCCACGGACCTGGCGCAAAAGCCACTCCTGGCCATGGGAGCGATCCTGTCTCCCGGCACACGCCACGTGTCCTCCGCCTCACATCCTGGGATTGGGCAGCACGGCGACTTCGCCGTCTATCACCACGTGCTCAACCGCGCCCGATGGTCGCCGCTGCAACTGGTCCGGGTGCTGTGCTGCTGGTGGCCGGGACGCCTTGGTTCAGTCCACCGAGCGTTGGTGTCGGCATGACGAGACCGTGGAACGACCTGGGGCCGGAAGATTTGCGGCCAAGGGCGGTATCGGGATCCGGTGCGGTCCAAGACGACCAGTGGTTGATGACCCCCCGGCGACTGCAATGGGTGAGCCTTATGTTGCTGACGCGTATCGGATGGCGGGTCGACACTGGGCGCTGCCGTTTTGACCGCACGCTGGTTGTGTCGGCCCGCTACGACCGGCGCAAAGGTCGCCCGGCACAAGACGTTCACCGACTACGCCAGCAGATGCTGGTCTGCTGCTGCCGTGTGGCTGCCGGAGAGGGACCTGTGGTGGTGGCCGACTGGCGGCTACGCAAGCGCGAGTTCCGCGGCATTGCCGAGAACATGTCAAGCCGATTGTCGTCGTCACCATACTGCGCAAGGACGCGTCCCGGTACCGAACCGGCACACCGCGGCGCCCGGCCAGATCGGGTGGCCCCGGGTGGTCGGGCGCGAATTGCCCAGTCCCACGGCGGTGCGGACGATCCCGCTACCCAATGGATTCCCTACCGCGCCACCGGTTCCGACGGCAGTACCACCATGGTCGAGCTCGCTTCGGGGCGTGGCGCTGTGGTACCACGGCGGGCCGCCGCGCCTTCCCATACGTTGGGTCGTCATCAGATACCTGGAGAGCGCCGCGGCCCTATGCTTTTACTTATGCACCGACACGCGGGCGCGACCCCTGCGGATAACACTGCAGTGGTATCTGCTGCGGTGGCAGTCGATCGTATCGTCGGGCAGCTCTTGAGGAGCTGCGGCTCACCTGGGCATGGAAATCCAGCGGCAGTGGTCGGAACGAGCCATCGCCCGAACCACCCCGCGCTCTTTGCCTGTTCAGCGTGGTGACGCTGGCAGCGGATATCCTGATCGAACAGCGTGGCGCCATGGCGCCGCGCACCGCGGCGTGGTATGACAAAACCAGCCCTTCCTTCGCCGACGCCGTCGCCCTGGTCAGACGACACCTCTGGGTGCAGCAGGGAACTTTTATGCCGTCCGAGCGCGAGCACGAATCGATAAAAGTCCCGCGCCTCTTGTACCACAGGATGCTCGACTCCCTCGCCTATGCCGCTTGATTGTACAAAGCCGAGGTTTCAACCCCGACAGTGTAATATTTCAGTAGGCCAGCCACAGCACGAAGTGCGCCGATTCCGCCACGTATCTAACTTTTGTACAAAGTCCATCTATAAACCTAAACTAAAGCCAAGGTGGGATGTACATTTAAGTGGCGATGTTGATCAGTTGGGTTGCGCTGGTGAATCCCTCTCATCCGTACTTGGAGAATGACCCGGCTCCGTCGTTTAACCCCCACCATCTGCGCATTTCACCTTGGCTTTAGTTTAGTATTACAACGACGGCTTGAGTCACCGCTTCGGGAACGCTTCTGACCGCAAGGGTTGCCGCAATAGGCGGACTGCGGGCGTTACTACACCCGCAAAATGCGCATTTTAGGGCTGGGTATGACCGGAGGTGATCGCCAACTTATGCTTGAGGACCAGGACTGCGGTGCAGGAGCAGGCGGAAGACCGTTTCGCACACTTGGCCAGGCGTCGGGAGGAATTCCAGCGGAGATGTCGAACTGTGCTCCAGGCACGGTGGTCGAATTGATCGGGAGCGCTCCATCCGGTTCTCACCGGCCTACCGACGTACATCCCAAATCGGCTTCAGTTTGGGTCGCGTGGTATACTGCATTTGGTGACGGTACTCTGAGTTCCCTTGGTCGCTCTTTGGCGACTTAGCTAACCCCCGGTTCCTCGTCAGTTCCCCTCTGGACCTCCTAAGGCACCATTGCGGTTCTCACCATGGTGGCCCAGTCTACTTGTCAACTATCTGATGAAAAGGGGTCATGAATGACTAACGAGGACCGAACCCTCTCCTGTAACGAGTGCGGCCAATCCTTCATCTTCAGCGCTGATGATCAGGCGTACCACTCTGAAAAAGGGCTACACCAACGAGCCCAAGCGTTGCCCGGCCTGCCGCCAGGCCAAGCGATCCCAGCGCAACGACGGCGGGTTCGACAGAGGCGGTCGGGAAATGCACCCGGTAGTTTGCGCCGAGTGCGGCCAGGACACCACGGTGCCTTTCCTGCCCAGAGGCGACCGCCCGGTTTACTGTAGCGACTGCTTCAGACGACAAGGCACGCCGGCAAATACGGGCAGATACTAAACCAAAGCCAAGGTGGCATCTACATTTGCGGGGCGATAAAGATTGGCTTAGACGCCACAGTGAAGCTCTTCCGCCTGCACTAGGAGGACGATCCGGTGCCGTCGACAGACTTCATGCATATGCACATTTCACCTTGGTATTAGTTTAGGATCCCGTGCGAAGCAAGAGGGGAGGCACATTCCACGCCTCCCCTCTTGCTCGGCTTGGCCGCGTTGTTGGGCCGTAACGGGGAACCAGCCCTGGTGGACTCCACCCGCACCGCCATCGGAAGGCTGCAGATGGGCAGCCGATGCAACGGCCATGCCAACGACCGCCCCCGTCTTCGACCTCCTGAACATTGGCCTCAAGGTCTGGGTTGCCGGATCATCGCAGGAGATGAGGCACTCTCAAACCATTCACAGGACGCTACCGCACCGACTATTTCCTACGCAAATACAACATTAGGCCCATTGGAATAGCGTCGTGGGTCAGTAACAATGGATATACAACGGTAGCGGGCGGTCGTCAGGGTGTTTGACGAAGGGATGCAGCGACTCCCCGGTATGCCTACCAACGCGTTCCATGGGGCCATTAGCATTGGGCGGCCCAGCCTCGAAGCGTCCCCGGGATCTGAATGCCCCCGAGTGCTCCGGCGTGGCGCGCCGGAAGTTTCATCCGGCGCCAATCATCCACACGGGCTCCGGGCAAGGTCCCGCGAAAGGTTCAGGTTTTTACGCCACGGACCGCGCCCGCAAGCAGTAACCCCGTCGGCACTGGATGGCCAGGTCCATCCACCAACCAACAAAACTTACCAACCACAAACCACAACATTCCAACCCAGGGAGGCAATCAGTGGCAAGTTTCACACCGCTAGGCGAGCGAATCGTCATCAAGCCGATGGAACAGGAAACCCAGACCCGGGGCGGCATCCTGCTCCCCGACACCGCCAAGGAAAAGCCCCAGGAGGGCGAGGTCATCGCCGTTGGCTCGGGCCGCGTCGCTGACGACGGCTCCCGCATTGCCATGGAACTTTCCGTGGGCGACAAGGTCATCTACTCCAAATACGCCGGCACCGAATATGACGACGACGATGAAAGAGTACCTGATCATGCGCGAATCCGACGTCCTGGCCAAACTGGGCTAGCAGTTGCGTTCCAACTCCTGAACTCTCGTACGCACACCAAATCCACCCCTGATAGCGCACACTCCAACGAGGAGAACCCCGCAATGCCCGCAAAGAAGTTGGTATACGCTGAAGACGCCCGCAAGTCGCTGCGCACCGGCATCGACATACTGGCCGACGCGGTCAAGATTACCCTGGGTCCCCGTGGCCGCAACGTCGTGCTGGACAAGAAGTTTGGTCCCCCGCAGATCTGCTCCGACGGCGTGACCATCGCCAAAGAGATCGAGCTGCCCGACGCTTTCGAGAACATGGGCGCGCAGCTGCTGAAAGAAGCCGCCACCAAGACCAACGACGCCGCCGGCGACGGCACCACCACCAGCATCGTGCTGTCCCAGGCCATCATCCACGAAGGCTTCAAGAACGTTACCGCCGGCGCCAACCCCATGGCCATCAAGCGTGGCATAGACCACGCGGTGGCTCGCATCGTCACCGAACTGCAGGGCATGTCCCAGGCGGTGGAGACCCGCGAGCGCATCGGACAGGTAGCCTCCCTCTCCGCCCATGAAGACGCCATCGGCGAGACCATCGCCGAGGCCATGGAGAAGGTGGGCAAGGACGGCGTCATCACCGTGGAAGAATCCCGCGGACTGACCGATGAGATTGAGTACGTCGAGGGCATGCAGGTCGACCGCGGCTACACCTCTCCTTACTTCATCACCAACACCGAGCGGATGGAAGCCGTCATCGAAGATGCCTACCTCGTCATCACCGACAAGAAGGTTTCCGCCGTCGCCGACCTGGTGCCGGCCCTGGAAAAGCTGCTGCAAGCCGGCCAGAAGGACGTGGTCATCGTCGCTGAGGACATCGACGGCGAAGCGCTGGCCACTCTGGTGGTCAACAAGCTGCGCGGCATCATGAACGTGCTGACGGTCAAGGCTCCCGGCTTCGGCGACCGCCGCAAGGCCATGCTGGAAGACATTGCCATCCTGACCGGTGGCACCGTCATCAGCGAGGAGACCGGCCGTCGAATGGACTCGGCCACGGTCGAGGACTTTGGCCGCGCCCGTCGCGTGTCTTCCACCAAGGACGACACCACGATCGTGGAAGGCCACGGTTCTGAAGCAGCGATCCAGGCCCGCATCAACCAGCTCAAGGCCCAGATCGAAGACACCACCTCCGAGTACGACCGCGAGAAGCTGCAGGAGCGGATGGCCAAGTTGTCCGGCGGCGTGGCCGTCATCAAGGTTGGGGCCGCCACCGAGATCGAGCTGAAAGAGCGCAAGGCCCGGGTGGAAGATGCCCTGTCGGCCACCCGTGCCGCGGTGGAAGAAGGGATTGTCCCTGGCGGCGGCATCGCTCTGGTGCGCGCTCAACGGGCCCTGGACACCGTCGAAGGGTTGACCGTTGACGAGTTGGTCGGCGTCAACGTCGTCCGCCGCGCTCTCGAACAGCCGTTGAAGCTGATCGTGGAGAATGCCGGTTCCGAGGGAGCCGTGGTGCTCAACCAGGTGCAGCATCAGTCCGATGACTACGGCTACGACGCCGAGCTGGGCGAATTCGGCCCCATGCTCGAGCGCGGCATCATCGACCCGGTCAAGGTCACGCGCTCCGCGTTGCAGAATGCTGCGTCCGTGGCCGCCATGGTGCTCACCACCGAGTCCATGATTACCGAAATCCCCGTGCCGGCTTCGGGCATGACGGCCGCCCCCCAGATGGATTTCTAGTCCCACTGAATCCAGCGGGAATTGCAGTCGGGGCGGTCACGGCGACTGCCCCGGCGGTTTTAGCGCTGGTCGCCAACCGTGTCCGCAACACTTCAGGTTTGAGGGGAACCGGGTATTGAAGGCACGGGCAGAGCTATTGAACCGGCGCTGCCGTCGCTCCGGGTAGCGTTTATCCGCCGCCCTTGACACGAGGGCTCTCGTCAAGTTCAGCTCACCAAGACTTGCAGTTGAGTTGCACGGCGCCGCACGTACTTGACGCCGCTTACCACCTTGCCACTGGTCTGCGCTCCGCAGGGCCCGGCAGGAACGGGGGTCAGTCCCGGTGGTCGGAACAGCTGGCAGTCGCCCGCATCGACCACGATCTACGCCAATCGAACCAGGAGGAAGCCCATGTTCAGGGACATCCCAATCATCCGATTCGGAGTGACCGACGGCCGGAAGGCCGACGTTTTCATCAACGACCGGCCCGCCGGGGCCATCCAATTCTGCCAGGGGACGACCTGGACTACGACCACCACGGTCTGAAGCCTGGTGGGAACCCAAATGGACATCAGGAAGGCC